TCGATGATCAATGAATTTCGTTTACGTCTGTTTCAACGCTAATTCTAGAGCTCGGCTTTCCTTCAGAGGATTCGAGGATCAATGAATTTCGTTTACGTCTGTTTCAATGCTAATTCTAGAGTTCGATCTTCTTCTAGACGATTCGACGATCAACGAATTTCGTTTAGGAAAGTTTCAATGCTAATTCTAGCGTTCCATCTTCCTCTAGAGGATTCGACGATCAATGAATTTCGTTTACGTCTGTTTTAACGCTAATTCTAGAGCTCGGCTTTCCTCCAGAGGATTCGAGGATCAATGAATTTCGTTTACATCTGTTTCAACGCTAATTCTAGAGCCCGGTCTTCTTCTAGGGGATTGAAGGATCAATAAATTTCGTTTACGTCTGTTTCAACGCTAATTCTATAGCCCGGTCTTCTTCTAGGGGATTCGAGGATCAACGATTTTCCTTTAGGAAAATTATACCCCTATTTCTAGACCCCGGTCTTCCTCCAGTGGGCCCAAGTAACGCGCCTCGTTAAGTTCCGAGACGACGAGCTTTTATATTTCAGAGTACTCCAGGGTACTCCGATATCGTTAACCCTTTTCGCAGCTTGTAAAACCTAACTACAAGTAAATTTCAATCTTACCTTAACGCGCGCTGTGTGGTCTTCATTTCTGGCTATTTCTCCGCTAATTCTTCCAAGCTGACCTCAACGTCGATCCATCGATCCGCCGCGGGGTCCAGTCACGCGGCAACACCGATCGCAAGGAGAATAATTCGAAATACACAAAGCCCGGACACGCACACGCGAAACGAACACTGACTCTCGGTTTGCTCTCGACCTTTACAATCTCGCCCCGATCACACTTCACCGTGCTATTCTTCCAGTCGAGTTACACGCCGGCCAATCTCGATCCGATTCACCCGATCGCTAACGGTCCCCGTCACACGAACAAGCAGCGCTACCAACGAAGCCCGCGGACTTCACCGGATTTCTACGAATTTCCTGCGATTTCTTCGACTCGAGCAATGGCGGGCCTTCCGGCCGATCCGCGATGCGCCCTGTTGCTCACCGAATTATCCAGACCGGTGCAAAGACGAGTCAAACGCCGCAGCATACGGTGAACGCTCGGTAAGAGGCACGAATTAGATTAGTGGGACTCGCAACCGAGACACTTGGAGGTTAGGTCGACTCCGGAGAGAGGCACATAACCTCTCTTTCACCAACCTGGTAATCCCGCGGCTGTGGCGTGCGCGACCAGTGATTCCTCGAGACCCTCGAAACACTCCGCTCTCCGGTGCATTTTATTTTCCCAAGCTGCACCTCGGCGACCTCCGGGACGCTCCAATAACCATCGACATGATCGGCGTGCTTTCACGCGAGCTTCTCTGTGCCCGCACGTGTCGTCGATATCCCCGATCTTCTCTATCTTCCGCACTGGCCTTCCTCGATCCTCGCTATCCAGGAATTTATCTCTACAGCAAACCTCGCGTACCCTAACGCGAGCATCGCGTTTCTCCTCTTCCTCCTCCTTCTCCTCCTCCTTCTTCTTCTTTTCCTACTCTTCTCTCTCTTTTTCTTCGCACTTTGCCTGGTTCACGCGACGCTTTCGATCCCCGGTTCCGCGGAAACGACGATGACGAAGCCGGCGTGGCGATCGCGACACCGGTCACTCTCCTTTGACAGGATCTAGCGAATTTCGATTAAAGTCGGCGTTTGGCAGGGAAGCGTGCCACTTAACGAATGACCGATGACGACGCCGCGTCCTTCCGACCAGCAGGGACTGGTTCACGCGATAAACACGCAGCGCGTCGCGTTCACGTAGCAGTCGGCTGGCGCGGTAGTGCTCGAGGAGACGCGGACGGGAAAACGAGTGCCGGGCAGGAGGGTATAGCGGACATCGGGTTTGGAAAGCCAAAAAACTCGGAATCACACGGCAGGTGCAAAAGGTGCCGGTTTAAAGGAGTAGCGAGCAACCTCTCCTCTCTTCGCCAGGTCCCGGCCGAGAGGTCCACCGTACGAGGACTGGTTTCACGAGACTCCCCGTGCTCGACCGGCCAGACTACTTCGGCCAGGATAGAGGGAGAGGGAGATACACAGAAAGAGCGTGTTCGGAGGAGAGACGGGAGGCGGCGAGAGGCGCGGAGCGTGTAGAGAGCGGACCCGTGGAGTGTGGGTCCCGTTCTTCGGAGAGAGGCTTACTCCAACGAGCGCGAGGAAGTACTGTTACTTAGACGGAGCCTTCGGGGCTCGCAACGTGCTGCAAAACGCGATGCAAAGAGCCGTGGACGCGGTGCATACGACCCCAGCGGCCATCTGCCGCTGAAAAATCTTACAACCAGCTCCGACCTTTCCCGATTCGCTTTTTCGCCACCAGGCGACTCGTATTGTCTCCTTCCACGACTAGTCGGTCACGGCGTTGGGTCCAGACCGTACGATTATCTTTGTCTGCTTCCACGTTCCTCCGTCCACTCGTCCGCGTACTTGCTCCGTTTTCGAGTGATCGAAACTGTGACGATTGTCGCGTGTGGTCGAGGCGATATCTCGAAACTGGGTGTTTTTAGAGCACGGGTCACCGATTACGTACGATCGAGTTTCCGATTTTCCAAATTCGTGGCAGCGATTTACGAGCGGAACGTTCACGGGTCACGCGAAGCGGATACCACAATCGCTGGGATGCACATTGCGCATGATATATCGCGAAGAACGTGTACGCGTGCGTGGACACGCACCGACGAATCGCGTGTCCTCCTTCGCCCTCTGTTTACTCGCGTGCACGAGAAATCTCGCCGAGACGAAGATCGATCGTGGAGGTAGCTTTTGCACCGGAAGCCTGCACCTTACGACTAAAATTCATGTCGAACTCGATCCGACGTTTCCCGATTCTTTTCCTTTTTATTTTTTCCCCGTGGAAATCGAAGACGAATTACCAAAGATGTGCTCACCGCTCGGTAGTCGCGGCTCGACTGCGCGACTGGCCGCCTCCGCGCTATTACCCGCCGTACTCACGCCCGTAGCAAGCCTAACCGGCGCCCTTCCGTGTACTACTACCCGTGGTGCACCTATTGCCACGTACCTGCACGTGTTCGCGTATAACTCTCACGCTCGTGTGTCTGTGTATCATATGCGCCGCGTACGTGTCGTAAATGCGTACGAATACCCGCGCGGCCGGGTGTAACCGGTTTCGCCGATTTTTTCCCGAAAAGCATTCGCGACGGTTTGTAAAATTGTTTGCCCTTTGTCGTTTCTCGGTATTCCCGTAAACCGACGCGAACCGTGCTTCCATACTTTTCCTCTTCTCTCGAAGAAATCGCCATTACGCGCGAGCATCGATCGAATATATCGAAAGGCGAAATTTTTCGTGTCGTCGAGAATCGAATTTATCGAGGCAGAAAAATCGTGCGTAGGGCGTGGAGAATGCTGGACGAGTCTGCAGGGAAAAGTTAGCTGTTTGAGCCGTGCTGCGTAACAGGAATGAATTTTTCGACATTCCAAACGTATAATCGTCATGCACTGGATAACGTAAGGTGACACCAAGGCAGTCCACTACGGAATCGAGATGCATACGTGCCCGACTTCACCGTGATCGAGCTCCGTCAAACACGAACCTCTTTTGTCTGCCGTCCCTGGCAACGCGAATGTCGTTCGTAAGAAAATGACGTTCTCTAACGACTTCCACGCAAATTGTAAAAAACAGGCATCGAACTTCGTTTCACTTTCCACGAGATTCTTTTTTCTCGCCGCGTTTCGATTAATCGAATCACGAATCGAATGACTTCGTACCGGGAATGTTAATTACGTTGAATTATACGATTCACCGAGTCGATTGAATCCCAACCTAACTTTCCCTACCTTTGTCGCGGGCCTTTGTTGCTTTTAGGTTAACGAGCGTCGTTCTGCGTTTCGTAAATGATACACTTCTTTCTTGCTCCGTTAAAAATAGCGCACTGCCCATTTTTCTTTCTTTTATTTATTTCAAATATAACTCACAACGCGTCGAGTCACAAAACAATTTCATCTCTATTATATTACTATTATGTTTCCGTTGAGAGCTCGAATAATTTATGATCCACATCTGCATGCAACAGCCATAAATAAAACGAGAGTGCAGAGGAAAAAAGACATGATCTGTGTTAATCCGATAAGATAGAATAATGAAATTGCATTTAAGCGCTATAAATCTCTGTCGAGCCCTACGCGTTGCATGATCCTTTGAAGGTGCAATATCAATGCGACGAAGCCTAGGGAGGCAATCTTTTGAATCGCCGCTTAATAAATTGAGTCATTAGGAACACGAGGCAGCATACATAGCGAAAGTAATCTTTAACGTTGAACAGGAACGACCATGCTGTAACTTTTAACAATAAAACCACCGACGTGTCTTTGCGCTGTGTAACATGATGTACGGTTATATGTATAGCATAATATACATATACTTCTTCTATAAACTTCGCTCTACGGGGATTCTACAAACAGAAATATATTTAAACATTTCATACAGGATTATAACTTGTAAGTCAGTGCGTTAGTACCTCGATCCATTATCCTTGGCAAACAATTCACGTTCGTTCAACTGATCACTAGCTTTGTCCGTAAACACGTCATAGAACAACCCGTGTAAGACGCGAGCAACCATTTTGACAGTCGAAAACACAGAACTCGCGTACATCGATTGCCCGGCGAATCGCAGCGACGGAACTGGTAAGATGGAAGGTGCTACCATCTGAAGGTCGCTTCGCGCAACTAGTAAATGTCGATCTGCTAGACGCGATTCGCGTACATAAACGAGAGTGTAGTGGAAAACGCGTATTTATAATTAAATCGTAATAACTTTCGCAAGATCGTTTATATTATTTCGTCCATATCTATCCGTACAAACGAGAATACCTTATCTAAACGGTTGATGAAAAATTATAAACAATAACACGAATTGTATTAAACTGAAGTTTGAAAACACCCATTCGTAGTTTAACTTTTTCGCAATAATTCATCACGTTCGATGTCTCGGAATGTGCTTTACTACATGTTTAAGTGTAAATGTTGAGCAGCAGCGATAATTTGACGTTTCTGTAACTCTATCTTTTCCTCCTTTAATTTTAAAAGTCTCTTTTGAATTTCCAACTCGCTTTGCCGCATTGCCATCTTTTCTTTGTGCCTCTTCTCTCTGTTTTTCTCCGCGATCGCGAAATGTTTCGCCATTTCATCGAGGAATTTTTCGAACAGCGTGGTTAAGGTTCCTTTCTGATCCAGCGTGTCGCTCTTGTTTGCGGAAGAGTTGGACGCCGGCGCCGCGAGAGGGTCCTCCTGTTGCTGATTGACAACGGTAATATTCGTTTGCTCCTCGTTTATGGGTTTCGGTAAAATGAACATGTACCGTGCAGAGCCAGGAGGCGGTGGAAAGTCGCTTTCCTCCAGGTACATGTGTTTCTTCTTTTCCTTGAAAATTTCGTCCAACGCTCTTTTGTGCTCCCATTGTCCGTAATGCCTCATTCTACCGGGCTTTTTCAGTCGTTCTCGAAACACCAGATTTTTGTACTTTCTTTCCAGGACACGCCATTTATTCTCGCATTTCTGAGGACTAAAGTAAAACCCGTGCTTTTGCATCTCGAGAGAGATCATCTCGAACATCTCGCGTAAACTTCGAATCTGAGTAGACTGTCCTACCATCGAATGATATTTCTTATACTGGCTAATAAGACACGCGGTAGCCTTGCTGGTCCATAAATTTAAAGCACCGACATCAGCACTAGAGGGAATTGCGTTGTTACTTTCGAAACCGGGAAAACCATTTTCGTGTTCCTCTTCGACATACGCCTGTAGCGTTGGTTCCACCTTGATTTCCATTTGCGCATCGAGGTTTTCCCCTTTTCAAGAATATATTTACATGTCAAAGCAAATAAAATATATCATGGGTAAACGTGAAAGGATTGCAGAGTAGGGAGAGGGATTATTTCGATCGATATATTTATTAATAAGGGAAAATAATTTCAAACTATGCGAAAAGAGGAACAAGGACATTTAAATTTCCCGCGTAAAATAGGACTGACTAGGCGCTCAAAGCGTGTCTATGCCAGTACGTCTTTCGAAATGTAAACACGAGCGCCGGACATTCGAAGCAGCGTGGAATTCACAATGAACACGAGGCAATAATAAGACATAACCTTGTTTGAAAACTACTTTTCTTACCTTTCTGCTCTGTAATATCGGCCATATTAACACGCTCTCGTAACGTAACCTCCGTTCCAATCTCTGAGAGAAGTCCGACACGAGTGCCAATCTCGGTCGTGGCACGGTCTTGCAGGGGGCCGAAAAACCAATGAAAACTAGTTCCAAACCGGTTTCATACTGGAACTGGTTCCGTACGCGTCGAGAACTGGCGGCCATATTACCTTGTACCTCGTAAACGTTAAAGGTACGTTAGGATCTCCAGCCAATGGAATCGAGTACATCGTACGAGTTTCGAACATATTCAAATACGAATAAAGACGAATAATTTATGGAATTACGTGTTCCGAACTTGTCGAAATTTCCAATTTCGAGATAAAAGTGGTCTCATCTAAAGTGAAAAAAATGATAATTAACGATATTTTATCGTGAAACGAGGTGAAAAATACTTCCACGTTTCCGTTGCCATTTGGCAACACCTTCTTTACGGAATGATTAACAATACCGCGTATCGTAGCATGATTTATGCGAATATCGAGGATAGAGAACCGTTGCACAACTGTCGAACTACTTAGAACGTAAAAACTGCGCGGAAAAAAGTTTACAACGAAGTTTCGCATGAAAAATATTATTAAAGCTGGATTCCAGATTTGCTGATAACGAATTTATTACGTCGCTTATTAAATCATGCTAAGCAGTTGCATAAATTGCGTGCGTTCCATTTAACGATCTGTAGGCATTTCTATCATTCGACGAAACTTACGTTACTTGCCGAGTTCTCCGCATTGTTAAAGTGCCTAGAACACTGAGTTTTCTCCTTCACTTTCCATAATACGCGTTACGTTTTATAATTCATAATTAGTTTAAATTTCTCATACAATTAAGACCTATACGTGCATACATCGAAATACCCGTGCATGTTCGTAAACTCATAACCACGATTACGATGTTAGCATACGAAATGTACGAAAACTTACGTATTCCTGCAAAATTGAACCTTTCACCGTTTTTATCTCAATTATGTGAAATATTTTCTCTATTCGACGTAATACAATTTAAACTCGACACCTATAGCATGGAATCATCGGCATAGAATTCTGCTTAAGCATATAAAGCTGATACATTTTCCCGTCGACCAATGATTCGGAAAAAATTTTTATCAGCTTGGTCGATCGATAAACGATTTATCGTAATAACGCGATCGATTATTTCCGCAACGAAGACGTTTCCACAAAAAGCTGAAACTAATCGGACGTACAGATAAGTACACATGTTTAAAGAGACTTTGTTCTCTAATATTTTTTTTCAGTCAGCTTCGACGTTGCCATGAATCTTCGCACGCTCTGATAGCAGCACCGACACCGGAAGTGAACTATTTCGTGAACCAGCCAGGGCTATATAATCCCGTACGTATAAAACACCAGTCTACGATGTAACGAGATAATAACACCTACACAGGAGTTTCGCGTAAAGCGTGCAACGAACAAACATTCCGAGCGGGACTCAGTCGTCACGGAACACGGGAAAACGAGCCGAGTGCTCGGGATTCCACGTTTTAGGTCATCGTTCGTTCCGATTCTCAGATCCGTCCTGTTTTTCTCCTACTGGTTATTATCGTACACCGGATGCGCTTCCCCCTCGTTTCAAACGTGCGCGACACATGTTACATTTTTCGCTAGCTTCGTCTAACGATAAAGAATGCAAGGGCGCGAAATATAAATATAATCGAATTCGTTCGATTATCGTTCGATTATCGTTGGAAATATCGTACCGATTCGCTAAAAGCGAATAAATTCGATACGCCACGTTTCCAGAATAAAGAATAATAAAAATGCAATAACACCCCGAAACATCCCTTTGCCGCTTCGTATTTCCCGCTCTTGGGAGTCTGGATTCGAATGGCGACGCGCCCTCGTAACCCTCGTACGCGTGATTGCGATGGCGGTGCGCGATATTCGATGGCAACGGCATTTGCTCGGTCGAAAGCATAACGTCAGGGTGGCGGAGCGAGCGGTAGCAAAGGAAAACGGGGCTAGCAAAGGAGGGTGAAAGAGAGGAGAGATTCGGATGGGTTCTGTCGCGCTGCGAGAGGGGGCTGCTGCATTGGAGACGGGAGAGAGAGGCGATATCTGGACAGGGGCAGGAGTGGAGTGCGTGCGAACGAGCGAGGACGGCTGTGCTCGCCTTTCGTCGGCGTTTCGTATGGGTGCGTGAGTGCGTGCGTGAGTGCGTCCTCACGGGCAAGTACTTTCGATTTCCAGCGATTGGCGAGCCTTCGCCGGGTACGACGCTGCACCAGGAAGCAGACACGATAGTTACCATGGAGTGAAATAGTACGTGCACGGTACGTCGAGTCGTTGCTGCACATTCCTCTCTCGGTTCTGTGTGCGTGTGTGCGTGCGTGCGTGTGTATGTGTGCGAATGCTCGTGCGTTTCTCCACGACAGGTGCCTTCGATTTTTTCCGATTATCCTCCGCCGAGCTGGACTGCAGGCCTCAGGACCGTATACGCGAAGAAATCAAATCGAGTCGCGCGGAGACAACCTCTTTTTCCGTTAACCGCCACGACGACGAGTATTCCACCGAAACACCATCGCTCGAGAGTAACGAGAAAGAACGATAGAAATAATCGCCGGAGAAACGGAACGTGTCTTCTGTCAACCTCGTGCTCGTGTGACGGTGCATATGCGACGAAGACGTGGATTTTGCAGCGAATCGTGGCAGCTGCTCGTACCTGTGATCGCTGGAAGAATTCGTACGAGCACGATGAACACGGAGAGTCGCGCCTGAAAGAAAAAGGATTCATTTTGACAGAGCGCGAATCGGAACGAGCCGTGGGGGGACTGTGGTGTGTCGCGTAGACTCGGGCGCGCGCTTGCGAACGCGCCCATCGCGCGTCCAACATGGCTACCACCAGCAACACGACGACAAGCGCCGGCGAAACGAGTGGCAGTAACGTGCCGCAGTGGAAAAGAGACTTGATTCAGCGTCGTAGGCAACAGAACAAAGTTCTCGCGAGTAACGGAGCCAGTGTGAAGCTATGTTCGGCGGTAATCGGTTCGTCGGCTACGACAACGGGCGGGACAACGGAATTGCTCGATCCGACCGGTGGTATTCAAGAACAGTGCATAACCGGTAATGTGTCATCGAGAACGCGGACGGCAAGCAGCGGAGAGGACAGTGCGAACATGGTGAATAGCTCGAGTGCTAACGGTGGTAGTGGTGGAAGCGCCATAGCTGGTGTCGTTGTATCTTCCTCGCCGTTTTTCTCGAGAGGACCGGCGTGTGGCGCCATCGTCAGCAGCGGAACGACCGCCGCCACCGACGTTGGCTCGACAGTCGCGTGCAACATGCGTCTCGAGGTGGATCTCTCGTTCTGCTCCGACTCGGAGGATGTTGCCAACGATATGCTGAGCAAGTCTTCCACGGACATAGAACGAAAATCGGAACACGGTGACAACTTGGAGATGGAGGAGTCGAAGCAGGAGGGGAAAGGAACGGATTTATTGGGAAACTGCGAAGAGCATCGAGGCTGTCGAACGAACAAAGTGGAAAGGGACCTTCTGGCGGATTTATCGAAAACGAAAAGCGGCAAAATGGAGACGGAAATGGCGAGGAATCGTGCGACGAGTGACGACGGAGAAAGCGATAGTTCGGAGGAGCTGCAGTACGGGCCGGGAATAGTGAATAAACTGAAGAGCAAGTACCTTAACCTCACTCTTAAGGAGATGAACAAGAGTCGCGTCTCGGTGCAACGTTTCAGACGCGCGGCGAGCCTGGAGGATCTGCTGGACTGTGACGACGAACCTGGTGAGAAAAGCGCGAGGAAATACACGAAAAGGACGACGACCGGCGCTGCTGCGAAAACAGACAGGTACAGAAACGCTTGCCGCGGTAACGAATCGATGAAACGAGCTCGCAGCGTGGAGACTCTGATGAGGTACAACGGCACGGACGAAGTCGGCAGTACTCATGGCGTATCGGGCCGCGTGACCAGCAACGGTTTGAAACAGGAACCGATCAACGATCACATTATCCTGATCGATCGGACGACGGTGAAAATAGAGAGCCGTCTGGGCGAGTTGGACAGGCCGAAGGCGGTGAACAAGCCGAAGAGGATCAAACCGTTGCTGGCGGAGACGGAAAGGCCACCGCCGGATCTAGTCAAGACCACGATGAGGATCTTCGAGGGGTCGGCGAAGAAGCTGAAACCAAAAGGCGAGGTGGCTGCGAAAGTGGCCACGTTCAAAACCATCAACGACACGTTCAAGGCCCAGGCGCAGAAGAAGGTAGGGCCCAAACCACCGATCCAACCTAAACCGTTTGTGAACGGCAATTCCAGGGCACCCGGTTCCCCGAAGAAAATCGTGCTGCCGCAGAAACCGACGGCCGAGCTGATCGAGACGCAAGATGAGTATCACATAGACGGAGTGATCACGGATCCCATAGTGCAGTCGGTGTCGTCGGTGGTCAGCAAGTTCCAGCAAATCGAGAAGTCGCATTCCCCGTCCCCGTCGCCCGAGCCATCCTTCAAATTGAAATTCTCGCCCGCGCCCAGTCCCGAGCCTCAATTAAGTAAATTAAAATCCTCTCTGGAGATCAGCGTCAAGTCACCGCCCGTAACGCCCGTTCTTTCCCCCAGAATTTCCTCGCCCAGGTTGCAGAGCCCTTCGTCCCCGATGAAGGACACGCTCAGGCAGAGTTCGCCGCGCGTGCACAGCCCTCCGTCACCGATGAAGGATCTGCCGAGGCAAAATTCCAGCCCCGTCCACAAGCCACCGCCGAGTCCCAGCAGGGAGCTGCTTAGACAAATGTCCATGCCCGAACCTGGCAAGCTGCTGTCACGGCCGCAGCCCGTCGAAGAGAACGCCAACATCGTCAGCGTGGAACATCCGAGACAACAGCAACCTTCCGAGAGGATACACAGTCCCACGGAACGAGAGAAACCCGAGGAGAACAAGTTACCGTCGCCCGCGGAGAATCACAGCGACGATGAGCTCACGGAGGACGTCGACGGGCCAAGGACCATCTCGAAGACCGCGTTGGAGAACATCGCGAGGACCGGTGTCACGATGCAGTTCAGTTTTAGCGATAAACCCATCAGCAACAAGAGTTACTTGCCCGGATTCAAGCAGAACGGCCAGAAGCCCATGGACGAGCATCAAGCGGATATTCGAACGGAAACAAAGTCGTCGTCGTCGTCGTCGCCGTTGTTGTTAGAATCTCGAGGCAAGTCGTTTTTGTCCGGTGGTTCCACGAACGCCGTAACGGATCAAGACACGGTCTCTAGGCTGCAGGAGAGGCTAGAACCGGATAAGTGCGACAGAAAGATCGAAGACAGCAAAGAGGACATAGACACCAAAGTAAACGTGGAAAACAAACCGATCGGTGCTATCTGTAGCCTGGGTCTGATCAAGTCTTCGACCAACACCTCCTATCCCCAGGGGAACGAGTCGAAGACCATAAGATGCCAAAAAACCGAGTCCCCGCCGCAAAAACAGATAGGGATAATAAGACCGCTGGTGTCTACCAAGACGCAGCATCCTCAGCAGAATCTGAGCAATCGAGAGCTGGAGAAGAATCTGATCAATCGAGTGAAGAGCATAGAACAGCCCACCAAGGTGGTGGTCAGCTTGAAGAGCGCCGACGAGATTCAGCCGGCTAAAAAGGCCAACACGGGGGGTACCGGTCTATGGGAGACGAAGCCGTGGAATCAGCAGAACAACACCATGGTGTTCAATTTCAGTAACCGGAAGGACGTGCCCGATTATATCGAGAACGACGGACTCATCATTAAAAAGAAACGGGAGAAGCCGAAGGTGAGTCATCAGTAATTCCTAATCTCGTTCGGTCTCTTATCGCGTCGTCGTTTCCCGAATTGCGTCGGTATCCCGAGCTATCGAGAGGGTGCGGTCGCTACAACGTTTCCAGTTATTCGACAGGTATTAACCTCGCCAGGTATCTCCAGGTATCTCCAGGCACCTGTCCAACGATCCACGCCCGAAAGTTCATCGATCCGGACAAATCGACTCGAGGCAAAGTTCACGAGAGACATGTCTTCCGGCGGGTGATCGCGATCGGAGACAGCGGGAAATCGAACGATTCGTGATCGGACTGCGGGAAGGTTTACTATCGGTACGAGTCGATAGTACCCTGTCACGGACCACTTTCTTTTCGTACGTGTGCATATCGTAATCGAAGGCATTTCACTTTCTTTAATATGACTGGGGCTCTAACAAAAGCGTCGCTGGCGTAGAGCCGTACGTGCTCTCGCGCCGCGGCACACGCAGAATTTCAAGTGACGTCTGAGCATTCGTGGCACGCGGTCACATTTAACCAGCCCGAACACGACATTTATTTGTTTTCCATTCCAGCGTCGGGTAGAAGGATGTCGCGCGTTCAACTCGTCGTAAACTTGTCTCGCAGCTGATGCCTCGCCGACCGAAACGGTAACGCGACCCCCTCTGACAAATACGCGCTTCTGTTCCATGGCAATACGACACCTGACTCTCTCTGTCTCTCTCTCTCTCTATCTCTCTCTCTCCCGTTTATATTTCTCACCTGGAGCTTTGAACTTTTGAACAGCGTAGCCTGTCAGCCCGTTAGGCCGGCGCTAGAAGTCTATTACCATGGGTGAAACCGGGTGAAACCGAGCATAGCCGATGTTCCATTGAAAACGCAGAAAATTAAGATCACGATCGGCAAATCGAAGGCGTACTTTCTCGTATTAGATAACCCGGAAGTCCGATCGTCCAGTCGAATACGAAGTGCCTCGTAGTTTCCCCGGGTCCACGGTAATTTTCCAAACGATCGTGAGGCACACCAACCCAACGCTGCTCCCGTCGTTGCCTGATCTCTTATCTCGCGATAACGCTCGCGCGACCTTTCCGCGAAATTCGCGTCGAGGCTGGATTTAATTCGGTGTTAACGGGATTTCGGCGAATCGGTGTCCCGATATAAAGCAGGACCGTTTAACGAACCGGAAACTGGAGCGTGCATCGAGATCGCGTAATCCTCGGCGGACTGCACGAAACAGGAATAATACCGAAACGCGTTGGAACGTTTACCATCGAACGGCGCTCCTCGTGACACTTTTGCATCTTCCATTCGACGGAATCACGCGGCGTCGTCCTTGGATCGGCTGGAAAGGCCTCCTGGAATGGTGAAGAAGGCGCGTGCTTTCGCGTACCGCGTGCATACGCGGTGTCTTATTCTCTGAAAATAGCCAGGCTATTTCCACAGACCGGCTCTAAGTGGCTTTCCTCGGGGATTAGGACCGAATTTCCAATGCCGGCGACATGGAAATTCGTGACGCGCGTCCGAGCGAGGCTTTAAACGCGGCGTATAGGCGTTCAGGAAGCCCCTGCTTGTCCCCGAAACAATTAGATTAGTCTAAGGACAAAACGGGCGATGAAATCACCCGGTTAACACCTACGCGATCCTCTTTGCGTGTTCGCGTGTTGTCTCGCGCGTAAAGCCGCTGTCGCAGCTCCGCGGGGACCGTTTTGCTCGCAGCGCCGTGCGTGCAAAGGTGTACGATTACGCGTGTACATGTTTATCTTCGAGGAGTCTGACCTCGGACAGAGGTAAAATTTCGCGTGACGCGCGTAATTCGATTGATGACACGTCTTTGGCATCGCGTTGCTTGTCTCGCGACAACGCGCCGGTTGCGCGGCGTGGCGAGCTCGCTATCAACTGTCTGCCAACCACTACATCCTTCTCTCGTCGGTAATTAATCGGAGATTAAGCAGGCTTTGGATTGCGCGATAACGGGGTTGCATAGGCACACGGGCCTGTCCGGGATCGGGTTGCGAAACCGAACGGACACCGGTAAATGGCGTTAATCGATCGAAAGTTCGCTCGGTTCTTGCATCCCTGGCCTGACAAAAAGTAGCCTTCCACACAGAGCGGTGGAAGGATATACGCGGAGGAGACTGGAGCTCGAGATAGCCGCGATAGCATCGCGAGCAACACTCGGTCGCGTTAATTAACCTTCGACGACCTCGTAATAATTACGCAACCCCGAGCGTTGCACCTAGGCGTTACGCGTGTATTCGCCATTGCGCGATCCAGTTGATCATCGCGGGCTTTGATAATCGGTCTAATTAATCGACGAAAATATCCGGCGTAGACGTGGGTCCGCGCTCGTAACGAGGTAAAAGGCTCCCTTCACCGTGTGATGCGCCAGTAGCGGAATTAGGTCGTGGAACGATTCTCTGTTCGGAAGAGTCTCTTCTTCTTTCTCGAACCTCGCTGCATGTTCGAAGAGGAGGAAATCCGACCAGCCGACGAATATTCGTCGCGCTTGATCGAGGCTCGGGCCAGGAAACAGCTCGGACGCGGCGCCAATGGCTGGCCCGCGGGGCCTCCTCCGCGTCGTTCCTCTTCCTCGCTCGTTCGCCAGCCAGTGTGCAAAGCGAGGCAACGCTTAGATTAAAAGTCAAAAGCAAGCCGGATCGGATATAATGGAAAGAGGAAAAAAAGGAGGAAAATGAAACAGAATTCCTGCGAGTACCCTCGTGGAATTCCACGAGGTAGCGGACTGAAACGACTCGCGTTTCGTAATGCAGCCGGAAAGAAATTAATTGCAGAACAGAGCGTTACCAACTTGGTATTACGTCGACCGAAAGTACACACGTGCTTTTATTTTATACGAGACTGGATCGTCACGCTGTTTCAGGTAAATAACGTCGATAAGCCCCTCGCCGGTTCCAGCAACAACGATCAGAGGCAAAGATAAGCAACGTTGTTTCCATGTTGCTCGTACGCTCGAGCACCTGTTTAGATACCCCATTCGTAAATTCGTTGCTGGCCTCGTCCGCGATACACGCAGGCTCCTCGCTGTTTCCCGTAACGGTAAAATCTTTCACAATCTTCCGAAAGTTTATCCCCGGTGAAAGCAGAAATTACGTGGCATCTCTCCCGTCTTAATTGTGCCGCGGCAGAAGCAACAGCGGCAGCGATAGCGGAAATAAAGAATTCCGCGTTGCCGCTGTGTCCGAGTTTCAATGGCGCGGTACTCGGCTGGAAAGTGGCACTGGCCGGAATGATAATCGTGGAAAAACTCGTGGATGTTAACCGATAAGGCAGACCCGTTTCCTCGCTCGTTCGCACCAGTTTCCCTCCACTGTTATTACGCTCGTTACTCCGTCGCGATGCGCCACCGATATCTCCGTTCTGTCACCGTAAACGCGCGATTAGCGCGCGTTCGTCGCGGCTGTGCAAGGACGTAAGAACCGGAAGGGAAGCATGGCCTATGATTACGCGCTATTACACAACCATTAAATGCGTTCCTTCGCTTTCCGTGTTATTACTGTTATCACGAATGCGCTCCGCGGTAAATGCTCGGCCGCCTGACGTAACGCCGCGCGCGTAACAGTCGGAAAGGAAAATCGGCCTCGTCGAAACGTGCAACGACCGTGCCTTTCCTATCTTTCTCCTTAAAGGAAAAAGAAAAGAAAAAAGAAAAAGAAACGAAGGAGGCCTTTGAAGCGTCCCAGTTCGACTGCAGGTTAGTCGTACGCATTCCACGGGCTGCAAACAGAACCGAAACGGTGTCCCCGGGTTTAACGGAAGCTCACGGTCGGAGTAGCCTGTTTCGTGTCCCATTGTACACCGATGTACGTTCCTCGCCGCGTGTATACCTCGAGCAACGTATACAACGTGCACGACTATCGAGGATAAACACGCGACGAGCGTTATCCTCTTACAAACAGGCGCTCCTCGGAAGGGTAACTCGCAGCTTGTTTGGGGTTCCTGGATGAGTCAGACGGTTATTCATCGATCGGTAATTAAACACAGGCGAGCAAGCCGATATGGAGTAACTATCGCGGATGCGTCACGCGAACGTTGTCTTCGAGGAGGAACGTGTCCGATTGTACACTTTTCCCCGGTTATCCTGCCGGATAAGAGAACGGCCTGGGCGTTGGAAAGGAAGCGATACCGGCCGGATCGCAAGAGGCTTCGGGATTTTGCAAGGCGCGCGTGCCCTCAGCTGAGATCGCGGGAGAGAAAGGAAACGCGCGTATCGTTGGAAGAACCACCGTTCGCTCGTTTCGTCGGCAGGTTTACCGTATTGCATGTACGGTAATCGAGTTTACGCCTGCAGAAGGTATCCTTGACCTTCTTTCTTTCGATAACTATTACCGTAGTCCGCAATCCGCATCGCGTGGCCAAGACCGCGTTGTTTTTCGCCTTTCCCAGTTCCGCCATTCGACGATCCTCGCGAGCTCGATGGTATTTTCCTGCGTTTATTTTTCGCCTACTTGGCTGACAGCTGGCCAGCTGTCGACTGTAAACACGCGGAAATGTTATCGCGGCCGGGGGAACGTCTTGGTCGATAATCGCGAGTCGTGATCGATAATTCAACGAGCCATCCTCGACGAAGATCGCGCGCGCGGCTATCTCGATGATACGATAGAGATGTTTCTTTGGAACGGGAGAAAGGAACGAATTCGCAGTTCCTCTCGATTGGCTCGCGGTCACGGGAGGTCGTGGTTGCCCGGAGAAATTGCCGGGTAGAAGTTAGATAGCCGATCAGCCGGCTGAGAAACGGCAGCGACGCGGCTTCGCGGCTGGTGACATTCCATAAGACGCTATGGGAATTCTCGTATATGGTCGTCCTAGAGGGACGCGACGTACCGCTTCGCGAGATAGAGGCTGGCCGGATCCGTTATCGCGTTTCAGGCTCGCTCCTTAAGCCGGCCTTCTAAGGAACACTGCGCTCTAACGATCGTGTCGCAACCGAATCAACCGCTACGATTTTTGGTATGTAGGCCACGCGACAATAGCTCCTCGTTTCTTCGCGTTACCCGCTCTTC